ATATCCGGGCTAGCATTACCACCCATCGGTACACCTTGTATTTGTTTAAATATGTAACCACTAAAATGTACATATGTCTCCTCAAGAATGGTGCGAAGCATGGCCTTGACTTCATCCTTAGTGTAGGATGTTACGTCACTTGCGTATTCGTTGGCATACCAGGTTTGGGTTTTACCTAGGCTAACACATTCTTTACCCGAATTATTAAAACAAAGGTCAATGAGATACGACAGGTTGTCAATAATTTGAGAATGTGGTAAACTAGTGAAAAGGTTGCTAAAGTCTGCGGTGTATAAATGCTCGACTGTACTGCCTAATGTAGTAAGCTTTTGCACCAATTCACTAAAAAAAAAGCTCTTTTGCGTCTCTTAATTTGCCCCTGAATACCGTCGAGATTTACAGAGCACAGAGTGGTGTTTCAAAAGAGTAAATGAAAGCAGTCGGCGAGTCTCCCCCTTTGGATATTTCAAAAGTGTTACCTGTGCATGAGCCGTTCACCGAGGCGAGGGAAAGAAGGCAGTACCGACAGGTGCCACAATACTTTGGTCAAATTTACCAAGACTGACAAGATATCAGTGAAGCAGCATCTCAGGCCATATCTGCCCTATGCTAAATGTGTACATGCAACGCTCATCGTAGGTGTTTCCTTCATAGTAACTGCCCACCATCTGTTAGTAAGTAAAGCCCACAGGATGCCAGCACAGCGAGTAGTTGAGACGGCAATCGGCAAGCGATTGATCAAGAAGTGACAAGCTCATCCGGTCCGGGCACCATCCAGACCGCACATGCAACCGCCTCGAACATCGCAGAACAGGGAGAACCATCACACTACAGGCTCACTGGCACCTGGAAGCCACTAAGAGCAGCATGCACCTGCCAGCTGAGACGGCCCGATGCAGTAGCAGAAGAATTTTTGCGTAGCGAGCAAGCTCCTATTTTCAAAGCCCATCTAGTGGATGAGAGAGCAGTTACCTGTAGAACGAAGAGAGGTTAGTTTCCGGATCACCGCTGCACTCACGCCGGAACGGCGTCCGCTGAACGGGCCGCGACTGCCGGCCGTTGCCATTGTAGGCGGCAGTACGTTGCACCTCTCGTGCGGCCCCGTATCTCGTGCCCATCGCAAGCGGCCTCACGTCTGGAAACAACAGCAAAATTGGAACAACGCAAGCAGCTTCGCCGTCACGTGCAATACGAAGCCGAGCAGTGTTGCCGTGCCCTCGCAGTCAGTAAATCTGCACCGCGCAACTGCTCGACATGCATGACTGCGCACAACCAGCAACACAGGGCCATTCGCCGGACAAACACCGCAACAGACGGGAATGAAGACGGGCAGTGCTCCCGCTATGCGCCGCAGAAGCTCAGGGGGCAGGGCGGCCGCAGCCCGGCCCGCTGCCGCGCCATCCACTCACCGCTGCCTACAGGCTTCTGTTACACGATTACCGCGGGAAAAATGGGAGCTGCAACTGCATGCCCGCAAAAACACACAAAATGCTGACCAGTGCCGCAGGAACCAGAGCAACCAGCCAGAACTTTGCAGACACTGCCGTGCAGCCGCCCCCTCCCCTCTCCGACAGACACACGTCGAACTTCTCTCCGTCACTTCCACGCATTTCAGTACGGCTGTTCCCCATGGGTGCTTTCAGAAGTTTCCAAACCCGGAACAGCTACTCTCACGCAAGTCCTAAGACGTCACGAGCAAGCCGAGACTGCCTCTTGCAACTTCTGTCCCAGCCCAGCAAGCGCACTTCCAGCCAGCCCCCTCCCCTTCCCTCCCGCATGGGGGTCAACACACAACC